CCCAGAGCAGATCTCCAGGGCCAGGTGTTCAGCAGTCCCAGGCCTCCACCCCCTCCCTGCTCTGTTTCTCTTCCTCCCTTCGGTGAGCTGGGGTGGGGGAGGGGCTTGGGTCCCACCAGATCACGGCTTTGGTACGTTACCCTGTTCCATGAGGTCTGTTCTTTTCTCCAGGTGTATGCAGTCTGGCACAGCCTTCTTTCCTGTTGCTCTTTCAGGATTAGTTGTATTAATTATATTTTCATATTACATATGGTTTTAGGAGGAGGCCTCTGTCTCACCTCTCACGCCACCATCTTTTATCCTCTTTCAATCCATTCAGTATTTCTTTAAAAACTCCTAGAAAACTAGGAATAGAAGGGCACTGTATTAACCAGAAAACATTTCCCCAAAACCTACAGCAATCACCAGTGAACCACTAAACTCGTTTTCTTTAAAGTCAGAATGACAAAAGCACTTGCTTTCTCCAGTTCAGTCACTATGGCAGAAGTTCTAGCCAGTGCAAGAGACGAAGAAAAAATACGAAATATTGGAAGTAGGAGAAAAGATAACCATTATTTGCAATTAATACAACAACTTGCATAGAAAACCTAAAAGAACCTACAGGCTAATAGAACAATAAGAGTCATCAAGGTGTTGGGTTCAAAAACAACTTTAAAAACTTAGGAGCTTTCCTATATACTAGCAATTAAAAAATGTTATTTTAAGAAGTTTACAAGAGCAATAAAAACATAAAGGTACCTAAAAATAAATCTAGCAAAAGGTATGTATGAGCTTTTTGAAGAATAGTATGAAACTTTACTGAAAACACATTAGACATGGATAAACAAAATATACACACATATATATATATCTCATATTCACAGATAAAAAAACTCAATTCACAACAATGTTGAATTTTTCCAAAGTTAACCTACAAATTTAATGTGCCTCTAATCAAAACCCCATTATAATTTTTCATGGGCCTTAAATTGATTCTTAAATCTCTAAGAAAGAATAAGGAGCTAAGAATAGCCAAGGCTATTCTAAGAAAGAAAAAAGAAAAGGAACCAGACCTACCAGTTAGCAAGACACATGCAAAAATCATAGTATTTAAAATAGTGTCAATTTGGAGCAGAGGTAAACAAATGCATGAATGAAATAAAAAAAATTAAAAAAAAACAAACAGAAATATTTCCAAGCATGAATGGCACCTCAGTATGATGGAAAAGGCATGTCGAATTAGAATGCACTCCAATAAATGGTGCTGGGACAACTGCCTTCCATTTGGAAAACAAATAACTATCTTTCTCACACCATATTCAAAAAACAAAATTTTCTTAGAAAAATATATAAAAGCCTTTATAACTCTGGAGTAGAAATGCATTTTTCAAAATTAAACAAATTATAAAAAGTTAAGACTGAATATTTTTATTAATTTTAAATTTCTAAATTTAAAAAAATCACTTTAAAAAGATGTCATAGTAGAAGATATTTGCAACAATTAGTACTAAGAGTATACAAAGAATTCCTATAACTCCGCAAGAAAGAAAAAACCCAACAGAAAAATGGGCAAAGATGAACAGGCAATGAAAAGGTTCTCAGCCTTGCTAGTAATCAGAGAAATGCAAATTTATAGAAGCATCATTTTACATTCATTAAACTGACAAAAATGTAATTCTAACAATACTGATTATTGGAAATAAAGGATGTACGGAAACAAACTCTCATCATCCACTGCTGGTGGGAGTTTAAATCAGAACAAATGGTAAGAGAGATGTGGCAATGCCTGGTAAGGTTGAACAAGTACACACCTGAAAGATGAGACAATCCCACTTCTTATTATTTTCTCTTGGGAAACTAGCACGTCCATAAGGAGATGTTTACTGCACCATTTTGTATAACAGAGAATACTGGAAAGTGCCCAAATGAAAAACAAATTGTTATAGATTCAATGTTAGAATGCTAATCTAGATACACTGATAAACCTTAAAAACATAATATTGAGGGGTTTGTTTTTTTAAGTACAACACAGAAAGTTATTTACAGTATGGTATCATTTTGGAAATGTTTAAACTCATAAAACAAAGCCACGTACTGTTAATGTATCATAAGGACAAAACATGGACTAGACACTGAAACACACAGCAGTGGGAGAACATGGAAAAGGCTGAGGCCTGCGGGGGAAGGACGGTGGGCAATCACTCTGTCCAGGGCACACAGAGTCACAAGAGAACACCATGATAACATTTGTTCATTTGGGGTGGTAGATACTTGGGTCTTTATTATATTATCTATTGCTTTTTTTTTTTTTGGCCAAAATAAAAATTTTAAAGAACTCTACTTAGTAAAAAGACATCAACAGCTCTGGGATCTCTGCCCCCAGTCCAGACCTTCCCGAGCATTAAACCTGACGGCTGCCTACTGCACCTTTACACCTGAACTCTTCAAGCACCCAATGTCTAAAATGTACTTACTTTCTCCTGACTTCTCCTTGCCTTTCCCACATCCTCTTTTTATGGATGTGATCATCACATCTACACTCCTCTGCCTGAAACTTTCCAAAGACTCCCAATATTCTCCAACCACTTAAAGGGGGTAAAAGGGTAGGGGAAAAACTTAGTTCAAACAACCAAGCAAATTCTGCACAGAAGCACAAACTGCACACAGGCAGAGATGCCCTCATAGAGCAGGACGGGGCTCAGCCTCTCTCTAGCCCGATGGGCCAGGCCCGAGGGAGCCCATCAAGAAACAAATGGAAAATTCTTGGATGCAAAATAAAATTCCTTAAGAGGACAATGCAAAGTCCTTCATCATCGGCCCTCCTCCACATTTCCAATCACACCCGGCCATGCTCTGCTCGGAGCAGAGCCCTCGGAATGCTCCTATCCACACACACTGGTGTGCCTCACCTCTCTGCCCAGCAGATCAGAACCCTGCCTGGCACTACCACACATTCACACACACACACAAACGCTCCTCCCTTCCTCTCTGGATGCCACTTAAGCACATCGTCTTGAGCCTCACCTTGTGAAGGAGCCTCTATAACTAGAAAAATGGTTCAGCTCCCAACACTAAGGAAAGCAGTGGCCTGCAGCCCAAGGAAGTTACGGCCCTCTAGCTGTCTCAACACACTCCCTTCTGCCCCAGCACCTAACTTTACCTCCTGGGGCTTCTCTATCTCTTGCAACAAATTCAGCCAACAATGTAACTGTTGTTTTACTCCCACCACTGACATTTTTATTATCTTCTAGCTGCTGCCACTGTGAAGGTTCTGACAGCACTGATCTGAGAGCAGAGCTGCCTTGCTGTCTGACAATGAATGAAACCCTGCTAATAACTGACTTCAATTCCCTCTCCATTAATGATGACAGGCTAAATGGGGCAGCCAAACTGAATGCTGCTGACAGCTTTAAATGGCAACACATTAAAGCAAAGGGTGCAAGGTCAGCCTTTTAAAGTTGTAGTCTTAACAAGGTTAAAATCTAATCTGCTTAAAAAAGTAAGGAAGTCCAATTTATCAAGTCAGTATGGAAGGATCAAATTCTGGGGCATTCACAGTAATAAAATTCACAGAAGACTGACCAATCCTACAGAATGCCATCTAATAAGGACTGAACTGTGTCCCCTCAAAATTCAGATGTTGAGCCCTTATCCCAATGTGACATTATTTGGAGATAAGGCCAATGAGCAGATATTGAAACTTAAATAAGTCCATAAGGGTGTGGCCTTAATCCAATAGGCCTTATGTTCTTGTAAGACAAGGTAGCGACAGCAGACAGCCCTTGGCTGTGCACAGAGGTGAGGCCACCTGTGCATGGTGAGAAGGCACCATGTGGAGGGCAGCACCAGCAGAAACCACTCCAGACAGCACCCCAACCTTGGACCACAAGCCTCCAGTCAGTGATAAAATAAATTTCTGTTGTTCAAGGAATCCAGTCTGTGGTATTTTATTATGGCAGCGCTAGCAAACTGATGCACCAAATTATGTTTTTAAAACAGGAACACAGCAAACCAAACATGCTTATTATCACCCCATAATGGTATCAAAGAATTCAGATCTAGAAAATCAAACTCATGATCAGTCACCCAGCAAACTGGACTGAGGTGAATTAAATGTTCTCAAGGACTCTGAAGTACACTTTTAGTCCCATGAATACCCATATTCACCAAAAGGCTTTAATCTTCCCTTGAATAATACTAAGCTCCTTCCCTCCAGCTCTTCTAAGCTGTCAGTGGTCATACTGGTCTCACAAGAGCCTGTCATTATGTCACTCACGCCATAACTTACAATTTCTAAACTCACAGGTTATCTCACAAGAGGATTCAGAAACAGAGTTTAACCGCACTCTGTATTGATACGCACCTCACTCTTTGGTAAACTCCAAACAGCCCAGAATTTAAGTCATCTCAGAGACTTCTACCCTATAAACAAACTATCTGACCTTGGAGACTCTCATGGGAAAAAAGGATGGGCAGATGCACTACTGCCAAAATGTGAAGATGTTTCTTCTTTCAAGTTTATCATTCTCTACCAACTACAGTGGAAACAAAAACAGAATGCCTCTGAACACAATAAAACAGGCTTTAGGCCTCTCATTTCCATAAAAAGTCTTTTAATGGAGTGAGTAGTGCAAACTAATGGATATTCAATCCACAAAGTTGCTAAGTTAATAAAACTGTACTTACTTAAAATTACATGTTAGCCTTAAAAGACCAGATATACTTCTAAAACAGCTCCGACACTTGTGACTGAATGGGAGGCCCCTGGCAACCACCCCAGCTGAAAGCGCCACGACACTGGCAGAGGGCTGTATCGGAGGGCGTCCGAAGACAGGAAGCTGGGGGGCTTAGGCCACAGTAATATTCAAACGTGTCAAAATTAACAACCCTCCCCAGTAAGCAGACAATCTCCAAAAGGCAAATAGCAAGTAAATGAATATATCTTGAAACACAGAATTAGAATGCTTAGAACAATCACAAGAAACACAATCCTTTACAAACCCGAATGGAGCTTTACTTACATGAAGGGATAATGAACTGTGGCTCAGTGTTGCCTGCGTAGCCAAGCTTGGTATACCTAAAAGCACAAAGGCATCGACACATTTAGATGACAATACTCTCCTCTATATCCCATAATGTCTTTTATTATAAGCTCTGCAAGTCCTAAAATACCAAGCCTCAAAATATTCCCTTGAAATAAGGAAAAAAGAAAAATTTGTGATGAGTGAGAATCAAACGCTAATTTCATATAAGCAAGCAGTTACTAAAAATAAAATATATGCTTGTTACTTTGAAAAAGCATTGCACACACATATTAACACATAAATTACATTGTGGATCCTTAGTAACTATACGAGTGCTCTTGTACTCTTTTGCTCTTTACAAAAACCCAGTGAAGACAGTAAAGCTTGTCCCTGTTTTGCAGATGAGAACACTGAGGCAGAGAGGGTGAGTAGACTGCCCACAGCCAACAGCTTAGCGGCCACAAAAAGCCCCCATCTAAACACGCAGGCTCGGATTCCAGAGCTGGCTCTCTAAGGAGAGCACTTACTTCCCAAACTTGTGAACTTTTTTTGGGCGGGGTTAGAAAATGGTTATGTAATTTTCTCAAAATATCATGGCATATGTCTAGAAACAGCTACTGCCACCTTCTGAGAATATCTGACAGGAGCATCTCTTTTTCATCTCATTTCAGAATGAGCCCATTTTCTGTCAAGATATTCTGTATGATGGATTCCAAAAATCTTAACTGAAACAAATGCCAAAATACTACTATCTGTTCCAAAAGCATTTGCTAATCCCCTAAATATAAAAAAGGTGGGGGGACCACCACTGAGAACCATCTGCTGAAACTAAAAAACTGAAAACTGAAAGGACTCATGAGCTCTTCCTTCCTTATCAGGCCTACTGTAACGAACAGTCAAGTCTGGACAACTGAGCCACCGTGGTGTGGTACAGCTTATAAGGAATAAAAATACTTGCTAGTGTTGTTGAAACTAACTTGATTAATTCAGTCTATTTTACAAATTATTTCAAGATGTTCAATACTAAAATTTTTGATATGATAACATGGTCCAATTCTAATAAATTAACTTTATGATTTTTAAATGTATTTTACTGTAGGCTATTTTTACTATTTTTGAACACATAGCAAATGGGTTTGGGGAGCCAAAAAATACAAGTCAGCCGCTCTTCAATCACACCTTACTGCTCAGTGTCCAGGGATCTGACAGCTCAGTGCTACAGAACTGGGCGAGGCTGGGCTCTAAGATCCATCAGGCCCTACAACTCCTGAGACCCATCTGAGAGCCCTTCCAAATTCCACGAACTACCAAAGTACACACACCAAGCAGACCCACAGGTCCCCCACTCCAGGGCTCACCAGACCCCCAGGAAGGTTTCTAAGCCAACCCAGAGCCTAGAGGCTTTTCAGAAGGAAGGCAACATATACTGAGTTTTAAAAACTCTGGATCTTCCCCTATTCGACCATCATTCTGGAAGCATACTCCAGACAATAAATATAAATAAACTGAATTACTGACCCAAGGCTAGAACCCTACAGAACTAACAAACAGGCCAGAAATCAGCAAAATCATTTTAAATCTAAATTTGTGTTTTCAAACAGGCTACATCACACACACCCTGCCCAAAAAGATTACACATCTTGCACTTACGTAGATCTACCCTCCCATTGTTAGGTTATGAGTTGTATAATGACTGCAATGTGGTCCTTCCTTTACTGAATCTCTACCCCCTGGCACAGTGCCTGGCAGGTGGCAGACAACACCATCAGTATCTTCTGAATGAGTTCTTACCAGATGTTAGAAAAGGTGATTACTGTCACACTGTTGGGGAGAAGACTAGTGTTTGGAAGGGGGATGCTCAAAGTCAGAAAAACAATTTGATGGGACCAGAAAAGACCAAAGACACTGTCTAATACAATCTTTCATTCACAGATGAGAAAACATATGTGGTTTGTGTAATATGAATTATTCTTATTAACCTGAAATATAGTAAAATGATAACATTTATTAAAATGAAGCGCTAAATATCATTTCTGTCTGTTATTTTACTTTTTGTAGTTCTGAAAGGCATGGAGTTTACTGTATTGGTTAAGACCATGCACTCTGGCACCACATTGCCTGGGTTCAAATCCCAGCTCTGTTATTTGCCAAATGTGTAACTCAGGGCCAGTTACTTTACCTATCGGAGGTTCTATAAAACTGGGCAATAGGATTTCCTAGGGTGAGTTTGTGTGTGTGTGTGTACACACACAGAGAAAAGTGCTCTAGAACAGTGCTATCTTGCACACTAATTTGCATAGTGGTGGACATAAAATGCACAAATGGTGAACCCAGTGGACAGCAGATACCCTTTAGTAACTGTCTCATCACCACCTCAAAGTTTTGTACACTGAAATCTCAAACTATGGCCTAAAGCAGCAAAAGGGCAGACCGCAGGCAGGGACTGGAGCACTCTTAGGCCCACACCTCTGAAGTTCAACTAAATAATACTGATGCCACAACCATATGCCATTCAATGACAGCAGGTGGAATATTCAGATTCTGAAGCCCCAGCTTTATCATGGACAGTTCAGCCTTCAAAGGAGGCCTCTGTCAGAGTCACACAGGTACTGTAGCACAAATAACATTAAGCAAACAATGATTTTCATGACTGAGGCAAACTAACATTAAAATATGTTAATATTCATATGTACTACCAAATTTACTACGAGATCTTCCCTTACCCTCCTACCAAAACTGAACCCATTAAAAACACTGGCAAAAGTACAAACTATTCAGATTACTTTATGGTAATTTATTATCTTTAAATTTTTCTGCGCTATATTCCTTATATACTATCAAATACACCTGACTTTTCATAACTTTGGATAATCACAATGTAACAAATGCCTAACCAGAGTTTTCTAAAACAGATATTCAAATTTAAAATTTCAATGAAGTTTTCATCAACTCAGGCTTATGCCAAACTTCAATAAGAACCTATGAAGCAGAACACTGTAAATGCAACCCAAGAAATGCTTGTGAGCTCTTCTGTAAAGACAGCCCAATGCTAGACTGGCCTGACTCGCTACAGATGACCTTTCATCAGCGCAACTACATAAAGAGCAGAAGCAACAAGTATCAACAAAACAACTTTTAAATATGAAAAGTATTCAAGATAACATTTATGAAAACAAAGAAGCATTCTTTATTCCAACCAGTTTCCTAACTAGCGACTATGCAGGTCATACTATGGGGACGGAGTGAAGGGTCCAGAATCAAACTGCCCTGATTCTCAAAGTGTCCCTCAAAATGCTGAGCTATTAGAAACATAATTTCAAACTGAGTTTTTCTTTACAGCATGGCCTACTTTACCTGGCAGGCAAGTTTAAGATCATCCAGGTAAGCTTCCAGAAAGTATGTACCGAACCAGCTGATCAGATCACCTGGGAAACTCCTAAAATACAGATTCCCAGGCCTTCCCAGGCTCTCTAATGGAAATCCCCAGAGAAGGAATGGGAGCATCTATATTAACATCCTTGTTCCAAACCCCTGCCTCAGATGGTCAAGCAGCTTAGGAATCACTGACTAAACTACACCACATGCAGTCGTCTTCAAATTTTTATATAATGCAAGCTGCCACCCTCATGGCTCACATTCTAATACCCACTGCATTATCAAATAAAATGTACCTGGGGGAGGAGCCAAGATGGTAGCATGAGTAGGGCAGTGGAAATCTCCTCCCAAAACCACATATATTTTTGAAAATACAACAAATACAACTAATCCTAAAAGAGAGACCAGAAGATACAGTACAACAGTCAGGCTACATCTACATCTGCGAGAACTCAGCACCTCACGAAGGGGGTAAGATACAAGCCGCGGCCCGGCGGGACCTGAGCGCCCCTCACCACAGCCCACTGGCCGGAGGAAAGGAGCAGGAACGGGGAGGGAGAGGGAGCCCAGGACTGCTAAATACCCAGCCCTAGTCATCCGCACCAGAGCGCAGACACACAGTGCATGGGGTGCTGGATATTAGAGAAACGGAACAGTAAACCCTGCAAGTGGGTCCCTGCGGCTGGTGCCCCTGGGACAAAAGAAAAGCAAGTGCTTTTTGAAAGTCTTAAAGGGACAGGGGCCTCACAGCTGGATGGAATCGTCCCGGCACACTCAGCCCAGCAACTGGGAATCCCAGGGAACCTCAGGCACCCTAAACCCCCTGGGCCACAGCACAGCTCTGAAGCCCCTCATGGCGATACACAGCCTCCTGTCCATTCTTCCCCACCCACCCCTGCCCCGCGCGGCCCCGCCACAGCAAGGGAGCAGCCTGAGAGTGGCCGCACCCACAGCAGCCACCCAGAGCCTCCTCCACAGCTGCCCAGGACAGACTCAGAGTCCCCGCCAGTGTATGGCTGCCTGGCATAGACAGAGGAAGCTGGGACTGGGCGCGAAGGGTCGCCATTCTCACAGGAGAGCACACCCAGCACACCTGCCTCTCTCCCCGCGGGGCTCTGCGCTGCCCTGACGGCTGCCCTGCCCGTGGTGACTCAGAAAAAAAAACCGGAAGCTGCTCCCCATGTGCGGGTAACCGGCACAGGCAGTGGAGAAGGGCAAGGCGACCAGCAAGCAGGAAGGGACTTTGTTCTCCCAGCTGACACACGTGCCACCTGCCTATGACTACCTCTATCACCATGAAAAGGCAGAAAAATTTGATCCAGTCCAGAATTACCCAGACAGCCCCTGAGAGGGAGCCTGGGGAGATAGATTTAACCAATTATCCTGAAAAAGAATTCAAAATAAAGATCATAACCATGCTGATGGACCTGCAGAGAAATGTGCAAGAGCTAAAGGATCAAGTTAGGAGGAAGAATACAGAAATAAAACAATCTCTGGAAGGACTTAAGAGCAGACTGGATGAGGTGCCAGAGGCCGTTAATGGAATAGAAATCAGAGAACAGGATCACAGAGAAGCTGATGCAGAAAGAGATAAAAGGATCTCCAGGAATGAAAGAATATTAAGAGAACTGTGTGACCAATCCAAACGGAACAATATTTGCATTATAGGGTACCAGAA